CCAAACCCAGCCCCCAAGTATGCTCCTAGGTCACGTGCGGCCCTGTGAAAGTTTTGGCGGGGAAATCGCTAACTCGAGAACCAGAAAAGTTGGGAGACTCTGATTTTAGGAGAATATTCCCCTTCCAAATAAAACTTAATTCATCAAATTCAGTCTTCATTTACGCGTGATTTTCGTGCATGAGCAATTAAATTTCTGGCGGGAAAATTACTTATTGAACAGTTGGGTTATTTCCAAAAAACACCGCTAAACGAAAATTGTTTATTTCTTTTTATGCAAAATTTACGATGATTTTCGGCATTAAGCACACAAGTTAGGTGTGATGAAACAACCGTTCACGCATTTAACCCAATTCAAGTTTTTTGTGTAAAAACGCATGATCGCTCCGGCTCGCCTGGTGCGTTCCAGCCTGGGTATTTAAAAAAGCGCTACTTTACCTCATTACTGTGAGTTTTTGCATATATGCAAATACGAAAACGCATATTGAGAAGATCCAGGTGTGTGTGTGTCTGTCCGGATACTTCAACTCGGCACCCAAGTAAGCTCTGGCGCCAAAATTTTGCTGGTGGGTTTTCCAGCCAAGTGCCACCGCAGGGCCGCGGCACCAACCTTCACGCAGGTTTGTTCCTCGCGTACGAGAGGGTATAAGTTTTGGCGGGAAAATCGATAACTCAGGAATCAAAAAAGCTAGAAAGCTGAAATTTTGAGATTATGTTCCCCGCGCATATGGAACTCAAAGATTTCAAACTCAGCCCCCAGATGTGTGTGGCACTCGCGTATAGCCCTATGAGGGTTCCTGGCGCGAAAATCGCTAACTTGGGAAACAGGAAAGTTGGGACGCTGAAATTTCCAGGGAATGTTCCCAGAGCATGTACACTTGATTTCATCGAATTCTACTTCGAGGCATACGTAGTTCTCAAGTACGGCCCAGTGAAATTTTTTGGCGGGAAAGTGGCTAACTCGGGAACCAGGAAAGCTAGGAGGCTAAAATTTTCAGGGAATGTTCCTAGCTTATGTAGAACAAAAATTTATCAGATTCAATCTTCAGGCATTCGTAGTTCTCTCATACGGCCCTGTAAAATTTTTTGACGGAAAAATGGCTAACTCCAGAAATAGGAAAGCTGGGAGCTGAAATTTTAAGGATGTGTTCGCAGGCCCCGTAAAAATTAGAGATATCAAATTCAGCTCCCAGATATGTGTGGTTCTCATGTACGAACAGATGAAATTTTTCGGCAGGAAAATTGCTAACTGTAGAACGGGAGAAGTTGGAAATTTTAGCGGAATGTTCCCTGTCCAAGTACCACGTCGACAATTAACTTCCCGAACTTTGAGGACCAGTATGTCGCAAACCCTAGCTACCAGGTTTTCGAGCGATCTCGTTACAGCACGAAATACTGCAAAAACACATGATCGCAGGGCCTGCCAAGTACGCGTCATCAATGATTTTTAGATATGACATTGCTTCAGGATACATTTTTGATGGTCCTTCACTTATTTGATAGTAAGTGCTGGGAGGCATATTACAGCATGATTACAAACGCTTTTGCAATAGTAAATATTAGCCAATAGTAACGTAACTTTCAGCAAGCCTAATGTACGAACGCACAGTCACTTAAAAATTAAAGATGCGACTAAATTAGGAAAACTAGGTTACGAAATCCGCGCCTTGGCGGGGCAATCTTGCGTCCGTGCGTTAAACTTTAAGCGGTCAAATCGTTAATTATATGAATGATTGTTGCTCTGCACTTAATTTGCACACTCTGCACCGTAATTTACCGTACATTTTGCATGGAAGAAAATAAATAATTCCCCTGGCCGGTCGCTTATTAGAAATGTCCTAGTTGTTCTAGCGTTTCCGAGTTAACAGTTTTCTCGCCAAAAAGTTCATTTGTCCGTATAAGAAAAACAGGCGCACTTAAAAACATGAAATTGTATGATTGCACTCGAAAAAAGAACTGCTTTCCAAAATTACAGCTTTCTAGTTTGTCTGTCTCCGGAGTTAGCAATTTTCTCACCAAAATACTTCCCTGTATGATAGAACCAAACATGTCTAGGAACTGTGTCTAAAATCTATAAAATACGTGTAAACAAGGAACATTCTCCTAAAGTCCCAGCTCATTAGCTTTTCTGGTCCCTAAGTCAGCAATTTTCCCGCCAAAAATTTCATCTGCCTGTTCATGGGACTCAGAAGCGCATGAAAGTGGTACCACGTTACTGGAATAAGGCCTGGACAAATAGCCCGATGGCAAAAGCTTGGGTGACTGCCAAGCTGAAATACCCAGAGGAGTGCGCGCGCACACACACACACACATATACAGACGCATAGAGAAACACACACACACACACACATACAGACAGGCACACATACACACACACGAAAAAAAAGCATAACAAAACAGCGATTGCGCCGAAGTAACAAACTACTTCACCTGCTTAATAGACACATACATACACACATCTGGACACACACACACACATACACGTACGACGTCACAACAAGCGTTTTTATGCGTTTTTGCTGCCAGCGCTATAGCGCTGCTACATCCAGCAAAAACGCACACTGTCGAGAAGCTGTCTGAGTGTGTGTGTGTGTGCGCAAAGCGAGTGCATTTTGTCACTCACTTTCATCTCAACAACCAGGAAAGCTGGGAGGCTGAAGCTTTGGATATATGTTCCTACCCCGTGTGTCATCCTCCCGTTTTAAGATCTTCCCCTATACGCCCCTAAT